ATGATTTGCTGAAGACAAATATTTGAGAGGCCTCTGTTCACTGTCTGATCCTGACAGCTCTGTAGCTTTTGGGCATCCCTGTTTCAAGAAGTAAAAGTTACACTGATGTTTCCCACAGACAGTGTTACATGACTCACAGCCGGGGCGCTGCTGTGGCCGAGTTGGCACAGAACTCTCCTGGTTGTATCATTGGTACTAAAGATTAGGAACTGTGTTAGAGAACAATTTGTCTTCTTACTAAAGAAAAGTCTTGGCTTAGTGCAACTTCAGCGAACCCACTGAGCTCTATCACACTGGCACCATGAAACTGACCATCACAGTCATGGCTGATATGTTTACTGCCAACACTTTTGGGGTTGTTCTCTAACTGTGCAATGTATCTGCAGTGCTTTAGGTTGGGCAAAGCCCATGCTTTGGACTAATAAAGTCTTGGCTTGGCCCCACATGCAAAGGATCAAGTCAAGACTGATCTGCAGCATCTCAGCCTCCACACCCTGACTCTTCATCTCACTTCATGAAGTACAGACTGCTATCTGCATCATGAATCACAGGCATGAGTCTGTCCAGTAGATTCACACATTCCTAAGCAATAACTTGTATGAATGTCAGAATGTATCAAGCACCCTTAATCTAAAGCAGCCTTAATCTCAGCCTTTTGTAATTTAAGGCCCACTTCTGATTGTAAAACAATTTCCAAGGACCACTAGAGGGTAGTCTGAGGCCCACCTGAGGTTGAGGATGGCTGATCTAAAGCACAGATTTCTCTGGATTATGCATGATTTAACTTGATAAAAAGCTTGCACTGTATATTAAGACCTTTTTAATAGTAGTGAACGCAGATGGAAGCATGTCTGCTAATTCAACAAAGAAGACGGCCCTGAGGTAACTGAGGAGGGTGGGGAGGACTAGGTAGAATTCAGAGGTAACCACAATAACCTGCACAGTTGGTTGGTGCTGCCTATAATTAGAACGCTGTGCATTCAGATAGCTCAAGGAGCAGAGCAGGACCGAGCGTTCGCTGTAGGAGTTAGAAGACCATCGCACCATCCCCCAACTAGGGGCCCACCACCTATGTTACAACTCATGTCTCTCCCACCCCACCCCCCGCCTTCTCTAACACACATCATTACTACACATCAAAAACCCATATGGTTCATAATCGAGCGTAATAAATGTCAGCGTCGCACAGGGAGGGCAGGGGGCTGAATGTCTGTTTACCTTGTACATGTTTAATTAGCCTCTGCCATGCTATGCCGTGTGTGCACGTGTGTGTGAGGAGATGAAAATCAGAGTAATTAGATGTGATACAGGAGGATGTGCTGACACGCTGCACCTGCACTCATGTGTTCACCTGGAGGTGGGGAGGTGTGACACCTGGGAATCCCCAGTCCACGGAGTGAAGGTGCTGATATCAAGGCCATTAGTCACAGAGGTATGATGTGGATTGGCTGGGGTTCACAGGTATGGATGATAATATATCTGATTATAATGAATGTTCATGGCTGAAAAGAAAAGAGAAACCGACCAGGAAAACAAAACCATCCAGCGTTGCAGCCATTGTACCATGTTCATCGTTTTCTGCTGTAGTAAGAAAAGCTGACTAACCGATCTCAGTGAACACACTAAACTTGAATGATCTGGATGCATTTTCCCCCTAAATCTGCACATACAGTTCTGCCTGTACAGCAGCATAGCCTGGGTGCAGGTCAGGTTACAGGTCTTGTATAAACAGACCATGTCGGATCTGGAATTGTCTCAAAATTGTAGATAATGATTAGTTTGCAAAACAGGGCCAGTGCAGCCACCATACTGCTGGTAATCTGTTCAAGTAAGGGGAGGGGGGACTACTGGGCCAAAGATTAAAGGGAATACTTTTATTGTTTATTTGCTTCCACCCGCCATCACTCACCATGACAGGCCAATGAATGCGGGTGGTTGTGATGGAAAGATAATTTTCCGGTGTCCTCTGCCCTGCATCTGGTCTCTGAGTCCTGTCACATCGACCCTAAGCAGGGACACCAGAGGATAAGCCAGACTTCAGGCTGGATTGTCAATAAGGGGGCAGGAGAAGAGTCAAGAGGCCAAAATGAGAGTGATGATTGATAGATGGGTGATTGATGACTGTTTGTGGTCCACAGCTTGAGGCCCAGCAGTGATGAGTCAGAAATCAACAGGACATGTCAATAAAGAATTAGTTTGATTACTTCCCATATAGATTAACACTGTTTACCTCATTGACTCTCACAACAGAAACATGTGACTGATCTGTCATGTTCAACAAACTAATATCGATAAAGTGTATGTGTGTGTGCGGGGGGCAGTAGTCTATAATGTCTAGGGTTAGATTTAATTACAAGTGCCAATTGTACCTGTCAGTACTAGAAGCCAGTCTGCTACATAATGAGTTTGTATCCTACTGATTTGTTTTGACGGCCAGGCTGAATTTCATTTGTTTTGTTTCTGTCAGAGCAGACAATTCATTCCACCAACATGGTTTTCACGTCGACTAGGAAGCTGCACTAGTTTGCTGGGAAAAGGTTAAATTTTCTCAAAGCAATGTGTTGAGTTAAAATCTGTTATTTAGGTCAGCTGACAGCTGACAGCAGCCTGGGCAGCCGCGTTTGTCTCCAGGTTTCTGGCACAGGAGCATGATGTCCCTGTTCTTAATCCCACTTAACTAAGGGTTTTCAGTTGCTCAAGCATAACTGTTAAGACCCGACGCTGGATAAAGTAACACTGACAGCGGATGTTTTGCAGGTAAATGTAACTGCCTTTCTTAATGAAGATTAGTTGTGTATAAGTGTCAAGACATGGGTGTGGGTGTCTCTACCACAATCTGTAGTTCATTTTTAAGTTTTTATACTAATTGGGGTTTTTGCATTCAAAAAAATTAAGATTTAAAGGTGCTGATTTAAGGTGTTGAGGTGCCTTGGAGTCCCTGCTTCGTTTGGAATGTGCACACTACTTGTTAACAGTTGGTGGCAGTAACATACCAGCAATGTTCTCACTTTTCCTGCACCCGCTTTGTCTGTTTTTTTTTTTCCTCAGAATGCATTTGTGTTTGTTTTGAATGGACAGTGAGCATGTGCATATAAAAATACATGACGCTTGCTTATTCTCAGCTATCCTCCTGTCTGGACTCGAGCCTGTAGCTGTGTTTCACCCTGGTCCGTTTTGAGTTTGTGTGGGTGCAGACGTGTCCCTGTACCTCGTCCTCTGACAGATTTCTTCCTAAGTGATTGTTGAGCATTAGACAGCAGCTCTGGAAAGACACTTATTCTGATTGAGAAGCTGAAACATTTTACTTATTTGTGCTTCAAATACACTGAATTGACATCATCTTTATGTCTGAATTACAAAACACACCAAACTGAACGGGCTCAGAGATGCACTTTGACAACTTGTCTGACTGGTGTTGTCAGTGGAGGAACTGCTGCTACAGCTTCTCTCTGCAGCACAAAAGTCTAAACTTCATTTACAGCCTGGCCTGCCGAGGTGTCAGCTGGCAGCAGGCAGGTTAGCACTGACACAGCTCAGAGCTGCATGTCCAAACATTTCACTCTTCATAAACCTCTGTATCGTTTTATGACGCTCGCCTGCAGCTGCTGCTCAACAGGCAAAACGATGTGATTCTGTTCAATGACAGGAAACCAGGTTCTGTTGTGACAGGTCTGCTGTTTTTTGTTTGTTTGTTTGTTTGTTTCCCATCAAAAGACCAGAAGCATCGGTGTGTTAGTTTCCCTCTCAGTGCTTTGTGACTTCCACCTTGTCTGGCTCTAAGCCCCTTTGGCTCCCGCTGAAGCTTTTCTTTTCAAAAAGCCTGAG